TCAACTTTAATTGCCCACTGTCCATCTCTTGAAAGCCCAAGCTAATGTCTGAGCGACCCACGAGAAAGCATTGAAACTTGAGCTTAAATTGCATGTGACTCCTAGCCGAGTTTATAGGTATCACCCACGTATATTTCAGCTGACCTGGATTGTTTTCCTAGTTCTGTTTTTTTTTTCTTTTCTTCTTTTTTTTAAAAAAGCGTTGAGTGTTACGCTTGTTTAGCAAATTCCATCCCATGCAGGTGAATCTTTATAGCTCAGGGTTGAACAGTGGGGTCCTTGGTGCTCTCTTACCTTTGTGGTTTTCTTGCAGACATCTCATGAACCATCTAGGGGACATCATCATGGCTAGAAGGGAGTAGGGTTGGCGGGGAGAGGAGGAGGAGGAGGAGAAGGAGAAGGAGAAGGAGAAGGAGGAGGAGAAGGAGAAGGAGAAGGAGGAGAAGGAGAAGGAGAAAGAAGAGAAGGAGGATTGTGGGGTCTTTGGTGCTCTCTGAGCTCAGTGATTTTCCTGCAGACATTTCATAACCCAACTAAGTAACATCATCAATGCTAATGCAAGAAACCAACCAAACTCAGGGAGCACCAGGGACCTCTCAAACTCAAATCTGTTTAGGCTGAACAAACCCAGAATCTGAATTAATTCAGATACCCAATTTGAAAGGGGTTGTATGAATGCCACCATTGGTTTCTTCCAGTAAAAACTTATTTATCTTTATTTGAGTTGGGGTCCTCATGTTGAGCATTTTGTCTTCCAACTCAAGGGGGAAAAAAAAGCAAGGGGACAATCTCCTTAATAAATAAACAATCTCCCTCAATAAAGCATTATTTTTGCAATTAAAATATGTTAAATTCAGAAGGGAAAATGCTACACATGGTAGAATTGACTCTTAGTTCCAGGTGGGGATTGAAATGTCATCCTAAAAGAAACCTTATGAAAAGAGAGAGAGAGGGGGGGAGAGAGAGATGGAGAAATTAAAGGATGCTAATTTTTGTGATTCACAAAGCTATGAGATGATGACAGTGAAAACTTTAGGGGATGATTAAAATAATTGGGGCCTTGATGAATCCAGCAGAAGTCAGAGATGGGACAATTATGAATTAATGAAGGCCAAGGGGAGGGATTTGAAGGTGTATATAAGACACTAGACCCTCAGCAGTTCTCATACAGCTTCAGACCTCACCTGCATCAGGTAAGCATGTCTTGGGCACAGCTCTGATGAGCCTTTGGTGAAATGTATTTGCAACTGAACCAGTGGTGGGATACAATTTTTTTACTACTGGTTCTGTGGGTGTGGCTTGGTGGGCGTGGCAGGGGAAGGATACTGTAAAATCTCCATTTCCCTCCCCACCCCACTAACCTGCTTTCCAGCTCTGTTCTCCAGTGCAGGGCAACAAAAGAAGACCCAGCCAATCAGCTGGGACTCGGGAGGCAGAGAATAGATGGGGGTGGGGCCAGTCAGAAGTGGTATTTGCCGGTTCTCTGAACTACTCAAAATTTCTGCTACCGGTTCTGTTGAACCGGTCCAAACCGGCTAAATACTACCTCTGAACTGAACTCGACATAAATTTAATTGCACTCTCGGGAGGAATCGTTGCCTTTTTAAAAAAATTTCCATGAGGCTTTGACTTCCCAGGTTTTAGGAAGGCCTTGGGAATTCTGAAACTCTGTTAGCAAGACTGGGTAAATTTGGATGCTCAGCTCAGGATGGGGATTTAAAGATGGCGGGTATTCTTTTCCTAAATTTTGAGATTAAGAGGTCTGAGGATGGAGGATGTGTGCCGCAAAACAACAAGAAATATTTGGGTGTATATTTTTTTTCTGCTTGCTTTGCAAAGGGAGGGATTATTTAGTGGATCATCTGCTAGAAAAGAGTGGGGGAAGTCTCAAAATGAACCAAAAAAACTCCTGGGTTGTCTTGAATCAAATTTTGTGGCAGAAAAGAAGAATATGTTAGTTGGAGTCTTGATAATATTGGCCGGAGAAATAGGAGATTAACTGTATGCACCTGTATAAGTGATGCCCTTTAGTGTTTTGCTTTGGACTTTCTCTTGGCCTACTTATGTGCTAGACTTTGGGCTTTAAGTCTGGTCTTCAAGTGTGCAAGAATTGTGAGAAAAGGTGGCGTGGGAAAGCCCAGGAAGGAATCCCAAGGAGAAGCAAAGAAGGGTATTGGGATTGGGTTGACCAAGAGATCTACTGATGACAATGGCTCTCACGTATCTTGTAACCATGGTTCTCTTCTTGGCTTCTTTCAGCTCATCTTCATCACTCCACCACTATGGCTTTCTGTGGACCATCCTGTGCCGTCCCCTCTTGTGCTTCTACCCCAAACATTGGGTTCGGATCTGCTGGTTTCGGAGGACTGCTCCCCGGAAGCTTGGGTCTCTCACCCTTCCCCTTGGCTGAATCTTCAGGAAGTCTGGGCACCCTGGGCGGAATCATCCCCTCTTGCATCAACCAGATCCCACCCTCCGAGGTGACCATCCAGCCCCCTGCCTGTGTGGTCACCATCCCTGGTCCCATCCTGTCTGCCAGCTGTGACCCTGTCGCCGTTGGAGGCAACGCACCATGTGCTCCTGCTGGTGGTTTCAGCCAAGGGTTGCCCGCTGGTCTTCTAGGAGGTGGTTTGCTCGGGTCTCGTCTTGGTCGCCGTTATAACTCCATCGGGAAATGGGGCAACATCTGCTATTCTCCTTGTTAAACTCATCTGAGTGGCCAACCAAAGGATGAGTAGAAGATTGGCGGGCCCTGAATTCTTTTCAGGGTGTGCATTTATCATTCTGGACTCTGTTTTCAGTCTTGATTTCACAATCCTTTCTGATTTATTAATGCAGCTCAGGAACTGAGCTTCTAAAACCTTTGAGCTTTCACAATAATCCCTTCCGTTGAATTGGAGCTGAATTACAACGGAGATGACGTAGAATAGATACGAATCATCTCCCATTCTCAACCCAGGAGTAAAACAAAAGCTGTTTGCTTTTTTTCTTGTCCTTCATCTGTGCAAAATCCTGTTGGCTGCAGTTTTCTTTTCACATGCTACTCTTTCTTAATAAAAAAAATTCTTTGGCATCATAACTGGTCTTTGACATCTTCTTCTGAAGAGTCGCTTGTTGGGTTGGGCCAAGGCACTGAGGAAATTAACTTGTTCTTCCTGGTTCAAATAATATTTCGAAAAGAAACAAGGCACTTATTAAAAATAAATAAACCAAGATTGATGTGTTGGGCTTAACAGCCAATCCCTGAACTATTTTTAGCCTGTGGACTTCCTTGCCACAAGAAGACCCTCTAGTGTCTCCTTCAATGATGGACAAGTGGAAGAAACATCAAGAACTTAAACTTCCCACTCTTTCCCTCTCATTCTAGTTTCTCTTCTCTCCATCTCCTCTTTCCAGCCCTCTTTTTCTTCTTCTTCTACAGCCCTCTTGACATACTCAGAGGCTACATTTACATAGGCTTTCCAAAGGATCCCATTTTTTTCTAGCTTAGCATGGTAGATTGAATCCTCATTTGGTGGGGTAGCTTCATCTACTCTACTTAGCCACACAGCCCAACATACAAATACAGTTTTGTGTGAATGTAACTCTTAGTCTTTTGCTGATCTTCTTAACACAGAGAAGTTTGGATAATAAAGAACTTTTTTTTTAAAAAAAAAAAAGGTTGATAAATCTGACATCCCTAATAGGATATCTGGTTAGTTATCCCTTAAGAAGGAGGAAGAAAATAAAGAGAACAAAAAAAAAATTAAGGAGACAGGAATATTTGAAAATTTACCCATTGGGATCTGTAAACTACAATTGCTTTGGCTTATTGGTCAACAAACTCTGGTTCAAAGAAATTGAGTGTAGGATGGTCTATGAATCCAGCTAAAATTTCCTTTTAAACAATTGGTAGATTATTTTAAAGTTTTATTGTATTGGTGATGATTTAAAAGGAAGAAAAAGCAATACAGACTGGCTTTTAAAAAAAATGTTGCTTTGATGGGACACCATTAACAAAAGGAAGACTTCTATTTCAAAATGGGGATAATCAATGGTTGATTACTTCGGTGTGAGGTTTCTTTCTGCAGCATCAAATTTTGAACTTCAGCCCAAAACATCTTCCTCCTCGTTTTAAATAAACTTCGGAAGTGTATAATGGTTTATAGGAAAGTTGACTTAGCAGCTTGAGTCCACTATGGGGCAGCAAAAGGCTCTTGAAAGGATGAAGATTTTGCAGCCAATCTAGGCAATTCATTGTTTGGCTTTAAGGATGTCAGCTGATTTCAAGGCATGACTTTTATAAGCATGAATGAAATCAGAAAGAGAAGGGAGGGTGAAAGAAAAGTGAAAGGAGGAGAGATGGAGGTAGAGAGGCAGGAAAAGAAGAAGGAAGAAAGGGGAATGTGGAGAAAGAAGGAAGATGATCAGAGGAAGGAAGGAAGAAGATGGGAATGAGGAGAAAGAAGGAAGATCATCAGAGGAAGGAAGGAAGGAAGGAAGGAAGGAAGGAAGGAAGGAAGGAAAGAAGGAAGGAAGGAAGGAAGGAAGGAAGGGGAATGTGGAGAAAGAAGGAAGGATCAGAGGAAGGAAGGAAGAAGATGGGAATGTGGAGAAAGAAGGAAGATGATCAAAGGAAGGAAGGAAAGAAGGAAGGAAGGAAGGAAGGAAGGAAGGAAAAGAGAGGAAAATGTGGTTTGTTTAATTGTGGCTGAATGTATTGTATGAATTCAGGCCTTCTGATAGGAAAAATAATGGTCCAGACTTTTCATAGAGTCACACAACCAATGACCTGCTTCACCCATCATGGTTTATACCTCAACAGAGACAATTTGGGCAACTTTCACTTTCCACCCCATCCCACCCAGCCTACTTGGAGAAAATTTCCACAGCCACCCAAGACAAGAGTTTCCCCACCTTCAAATTACAACCAAACAAGAGCCACTGGTTTATTATGCAGAATCACATTTATTAAGGGGGCAAAGAATGAACATGGGGGCAAATCATTAGGTGTTCCAAGCAGACCAAAGCAAACAATCATCTCTCCTTTGACAAGTAATTTCACATGTCGGAAAGGACACAAGGTCTCCTAGATGTTGGCTGAGCTTCTTTCCTTCCAATCTCACATGAAGCTCTGGATTGATCAATTGAGGAGGAAGAGGAGGCTAATTGGTGCTAATGGTTGTTGGAATCACAGGAGAGAACATGGGTAACTCTAGAGTAGAAAGAAAAGAGTCATAAAAGCCACAGGCAGTCCAGAAAAGGGCTCAGATACACCTCAGTCGATCTTCTCAAATCCGTTTTTTGGTCATGGAGAGTCCAGGTTGACTTAACAAGGGAGGTTGCAGATGCTACCTCTGCGCCCCAGACCACAGATGCTGCCACGGCGACCGAGACGCCCCAGGCGGGCTCCGGAGAAGCCACCATAATGTCCGAAACCTCCGAAACTTCCGATACCTCCGATACCTCCAGGGGCACATGGGGTGTTGCCTCCGACGGCGACGGGCTCACAGCTGGCGGACAGGATGGGACCAGGGAGGGTGACCACCACTGCAGGGGGCTGGATGGTCACCTCGGAGGCTGGGATCTGGTTGATGCAGGAGGGCCTGACTCCGGCCAGGGTGCCCAGGCTTCCTGAGGATTCGGCCAAGGCCCCAGCTCCGTAGCCATAGCCCAAACCATGACCATAACCGAGACCGTAGCCAAGACCCCAACCGAGACCTTTGGAACCAGCTGATCCGAAGCCAACAGCTGGGGCGGAGGCGCAAGATGGCACAGCACAAGAGGGTCCACAGAAAGCCATGGTGTTGAGTTGTGAGGTGAATCTATTGCACAAAATAGAGAGAGTTTGTGAGAATTGCATCTGTTCCCTTTTACCAACACATCCCCTGCTTCTTCTATCAACCAACACGATAACTTTAATGAGATTTGATTTGCTCGGACTGGGGTGAATGGTAGCCTCTAACTGGTCTTCTCAAGCTAGGCTTCCTTGACCTGAAATGGTCAAGAGGCTCACCAGTAGAGGCCATGAATTTTGGAAGGCAGAGCTGGAAACCCATTCCTTCCCTTTCATAGAGGGGAGAAAAATAACCCCAACCAAGACCCCTGGCACCAGCTGATCCAAAGCCAACAGCTGGGGCAGAGGTGCAAGATGGCACAGCACAAGAGGGTCCACAGAAAGCCATGGCTGGATGGAAGAGCTGTTGGAAGAAGAAGAACCATGGGTTTTGTGATTCACACCCAGGGCATGAATGGAATCCAAGAAAATAACAGAAGACTCTTCCAGGTATGGTGGCCTTCAACGTAGGACCACTATTGAGGCTGTCATGAATGCATCTAGTTGCCAAGCACCCAAATATTGATCACATGACTGCCAGGATGTTGCTATCATGGTCATAAGACTGAGGATTGGTCACAAGGCACTTCATTGGGAATACTGCAACAATGTTTAGTCTGCCGTTAGGGGGAATTACATTAGTGGACAGTGACTTCCCATCTTGATGGAAAGCCCTAAGATGGATGCTCCACAGTTGTATGAATCTGGACGTTTTTGCTGGTATTTGAATGAAATATAAGTACAGTGAGTATATCATTCTGAGATCAAGCATGTTTTCTGGATACTGCTTTAAGGTCAGAATGAAACATTTTTCTAGGCTCTTCCTAAGAGGAGACAGAATTGTTTCAAATCCTTCCTCCCTCCCTCCCTCCCTCCCTTCCTCCCTTCCTTCCTTCCCAGACCAATTCACAAAACAAAGAGCCATAAGAAATCAGAAAGGCATCTCAGATACAAGGGACTTACCAGAGAGACTCTTGGAGAAGCAGTCAAGAGGAGGAGATGAAGCTGATGGAAACTCTCAGCAGGAGAAGCTCTTTTTATACTGTTTTTCTGTCCCCACCGCTAGCTTAGAAACGCCCCTTTTTGCTCCAGGGTTTCATTTGTGTTTGTGCAAAGTCTCATCAAACTTCCCCAAATTACTTTAATAAGATGAAATAAACTTATGAATTGAAGACTTGGCGTTTTGTCAGACTTGTGTGACATGGTTGTTATTTTGATCTTATCTTTGCTTCCCCTTTTCTTGTTGTGTTCTTTCCACGGAGATAAATGCACTTTATGCCTAGCCTTGCCAAACACAAAGCAGCATTCATATAGTTTGTTTATGATTTCAAATTGCAAAATTCCATTCTATTATTAAATTGCTACCGACATTTCTTTCTTTCTCCTCACGCCTGTTGCATCAGAAGCGGTGATTATCCCTGTTTCATCATTCAGAATAATTGATCTGACTTTCTGTAATCTCTCACAGTGTCATTCGATAAAGATTGGCTTGATTTTTAATTCAGCCTGTTCATTCAGAGGATAGAGGAGAGGGTTTGGAGAAAAAGGGAGAAAAAGAGTATCAAAGAGAAAGGGAGAGAGAGGGGGAGAGGAAGAGAGGAAACTATCTATGAAGTCTTCAAAGAGTGGTTGGATGATCAACTGTTGGATGTGTTGCAGTAGATCCTGTACAGAAAAGGGGTAAGAATAAAGAAGTCCCTTCCAACTCTGTGATTCTAGGAAAGAAAGATGGGAAATGCCCATTCTGTTAAGTCATATTAACTAGGGGTTATCAACAAACCATAGTTAGCAGGGCTTGGGAATCTGTGAGCCAAAGCAGTAACTGGTACTATGATTCCTGTTCTCACCACCACACCATCACCACCACACAGCTTGATTGCTACACTGTGCTCAGCATGGGGCTGCCCTTGAAGACGGTTCCAAGAGTACAGAATGCCAGGGTGCCAGTAGGTTGAGCATTATTCCTTGATCACCATATGGGCCAAAGTCTTCTGGACTGAACTCCAAGCCCAGTTCATAATCCTGGGTGATGGAGTTTAGAAGAGCCATCAAGAACCATCTCCTCCCAAAATATTCCATGGGAACGAGGGGACAAACTTGGAAGTCCTCTGATCTTCATACCACTTCAAATGTGCTCTAGAACACTTATGTTTTCGTGGCTCTTGGAAAGCTTACTAAAGTTGGGTTGGTTGAAATATTTGGGACAAACAGCTTTGGAATGAAGGCCATCATGGAGAAGGTTGAACACTGAGGTTCTGGAGTTGATGTTCTAATGATGGTGGCATCTTCAGGATGCTTTATCCTCCAGACATTACTGCAGAGTAGAGTCAACCCGGAGCAGGGGTTCTCAGGTACAAAGTGAGTTTGGGTTACTACTAGTTTTCAACAAGACCTTGGGAATGTTACTTTTTCCATTTTCCCATGTATTGGGTAGATTTAAGGATCCCTCCAGGGTCACAAGCTCCCCACCTTGAAGTCAAAGTTATCTCTGTGCTGATTCAAGGAAAAGTTACCCATTTTTGGCGGAGTTGCTACTGAGGACAACAATCCAACTTTGATCTTACCTTCATCTCCACCTGTGTGGGTGTTGCTCACTTCCATGATCAGATAAACAAAAACATTTGGCTTGAGGTCAATTAACTTGAAAGGGAGCACAGAAGAAATAGTTTTTATTGTATTTACGGTGACAAGATTATTATGCCTCGCAACGGCAATGTGACATTTGTGCTGAATGAAGTCCTTTTTTTCTCTTTTAAATGCCGGAAAAGAAAATTGTTGGAAGTCATATGAGGTTTTTATGGGCCCCAACTTCCTGGGGACGCCATCCAAATCATATAAAAGCCCTCTTTGCTCTCTGAAGCACCATCAGCTTCTGGTTGACTCCCCTGTCTTCACTACTTCTCTCCGAAGCAGGTAAGACTATCTACTTAGAGAGAATCCCTCCTGGTTGCGAGCAGATGAGGTAGATCTTCCAGCCAGAATCTGAGATTCTGCAAGATTTGGACCTCATCAGGGGCTAGAATGCTTCTGAATGCATCTGCTTTCAGAACCAGATTCTGGCATTCGATTTGAAGGAGTAGGAAGGCTTCATTTTGAGTTTGAGAAGATATAAGTAAGGGTTTGGAGAGAAAGGGAGAAAAAGAGAGTGTCAAAGTGAGGGAGAGAGGGGGGGGGGGAAAAGAGGGGGAAGAATGGAAGAGAGAGGGGGGAGAACGAAAGCAATCCAGTTTTTTGAGATAACTGAGGTAGATCTTCAAGTCAGAATCTGAGGTTCTTCAACATTTGGACCTCATCATAGGCTTGAATGCTTCTGCTTTTAGAACCAGCTTCACCCTTTCTATCTGAAGGACTAGGATGGGCTTCATTTTGAATTTTTCTCCTCTCCTTCTCTATTTGAGCTTACCATCCAAAGAGTTTATGGTTAGGATACCGGAAAGCCATCGGTTCTTTTTGAGATAGCTTGGATGGTCACGCTTATAAAATCCAGGTTGTAATGACAAAAGATGGAGGGTCTCCAGTTAACTGATAACTAGAATGAGAGATTGAGACCCAACCTTGACTTCTTACTCAGCGGTCAGTTGAGAAGTGGAGAACTAATCTTAATTTTGGAGAGGGTAATATGAAAAAAAAACTGGGAGGACCTTTTTCCTGATCTCCTTGAGGTTTGGCCACCAGCTGGCCAACAAAAAGAAGCACATTCTTCAGCCTTAAACAAAAGCATATGGCTTAGAGTTAATATTGACAAGACATTTTAATGATTGAAGAAGTCAGGAGATATATAAATGCAGATTCCTATCAAAGGTGAAAACAATTGAGCCTTTGGATTTGATGTTCCATTGTCTCCTATTTCTTCTAGAACTTTTTTCTTTGGACCTCACTGTAGTCAGAAGTCATTTGATCAAGGACCATCATGTTGGGTCCAAAGTGGAATTCCAAAAAAAGGAGAAGTTGAGGGAAACTGAAGTCTTGTCTTCAATTGTTTTTCTTCTTCTCCCTTCTAATAAAAAGGGGTCGATTTTCCAGCCCCCCGCCTTCTAAATTTCATGGCTCACCCTAGTGAATCACTGGGCTATTTTTATGTTGGGGAAGCCTATCTTGAGAAGATCAGTTAGTTCAACTCAGTTCTAGCTGATCCTGTTGAAGTGTTTGCTGGTTGAAGGACGAGGCGGGAGACGGAACGGGGAAGCTGAATGGAATGCAATTCTCATGATGTCTCCCCATTTGTTTTATCCTAGACTCACTTCACAACTCGACACAATGGCCTACTGTGGACCCGCTTGTGCTGTGCCTTCCTGTGCCTCTGCTCCAGTTGTTGGCTTTGGATCAGGTGGTTCCAGAGGTCATGGTTGGGGTCTTGGCTATGGTCTGGGCCATGGCTATGGCTTGGGCTATGGCTATGGAGCTGGTGCCTTGGCTGAAACCTCAGGAAGACTGGGCACCCTGGCCGGAGTCATCCCCTCCTGCATCAACCAGATTCCAGCATCCGAGGTGACCATCCAGCCTCCTTCTTCAGTGGTGACCCTCCCTGGTCCCATCCTCTCCGCCAGCTGCGAGCCCGTCGCTGTTGGAGGCCACTCCCCATGTGCCCCCGGAGGGCTGAGAGGAGGCTGGGGCTATGGAGGCTGGGGCTATGGAGGCTGGGGCTATGGAGGCCTTGGCTTCAAGGGTTATGGTGGTCTTCTTGGGAAAAGGTACCCATGGAACCGTAGAGGAAGCATCTGTCTGAGCCGTCGTGGTAGCATCTGTCTGTAGATGGATGACATTGGCATGGAAGATCCCTCCTGATACTACAATGGCGTTGGACTCATTCCTCTTGTTGGTTTTCCCCAATTTTGCTTTAAAATGCTCAAGTTCCCACTCCCTTTGCATATATATATGTGTTATACATAAAACATACCTTCACCAGCTCTTGCGTGTCTCTTAACGTTGCTTCTCTCTGTTTTCCAATAAAATCAAATGTGAATCATTTGAAACCCACGTCTCTGTCTTCCTTTGATCTCAATTCTCTCTAGCATGGGTTGCAGTGAATTAAATTTCCATGAGGACATGGATCCTTGTCTTTAAAGCCATGACTACCTTCAGGCCATCCAAAGAACTTCAGTAGAGCTCAGATGAACCAAGTCAAAGTCCTTCTTAATCTAACACAGGGGTCTTCAAAACTCAACAGCTTTAAGACCGGTGGACTTCAACCCCTGTAATCCTTCCTCCAGTCATGTTAGCTCAGGAATTCTGGGAGCTGAAGTCCACAAGTCTTAAACTTGCCAAGTTTGAAGACCCTTGGCCTAACAGTTGGTTTCTGCCAAAGGTCAACCTTTTTGGTGCTTGCAAGCTGACATCATAGCATATAGAATAGAAGATAGAATAATAGAGTTGGAAGGGACTTTGGAGGTCTTCTAGTCCAACCCCCTTCTCAAGCAGGAGACCCAATACTATTACAGATAATTGGATGTCCAGTCGCTTTTTGAAAGCCTCCAGAGATGGTGCACCCTCAATGTCTGAAGGCAAGATGTTCCATGGGTTGTCTATGGAGATTCTTGGAGAACCGAAGAAGCTTCTTGGATGAGAAGTGAAATGTCTTCAAAGAAGGCCCAGTTGCCTCTTGAAAAAGAACTTTGGATTCCATTGAAAGGCTCTCACCTTTAGGAAATTTCTAGGTTGCTTCTCTCCAGGGTGAGTTTCCATCCATTGTTCCTCCACCCATTGTCAGATTCCATCGCTTGTTTCTGCAGGCATGTGTCTTTCATGCCATCACAGTCCCCCATCCCTGAAAGTAACATTGGAACTGTAAAGACTAATAGCTCATGGTTGCCTCCTCCTCCATGGTGGTATCTCCTCGCCTTTTAAAACAATTAAATGGCCCATCACCAGATTATGCCATCTTCTCTCTTTCTCATAACTTTCTTCCAGCTCCTCTTCCCCCTCCTCTTCTTCCTCTCCACAAACCCAACTTCTTTCTAGAACTGATGATGTTACCCAGTTTGTAATAGTAGTGCAGACTTTGTAAATAGTTGGACAGTGTTGAGGAATTATTTGTTTAGCAGAGGGATGGCGTTCGGGGAAAAAAAACTGTCTTTTTTTTTCTTTGAAGACATTTCACTTCACTTCTAACATTCTCTTAGATATGTCTCTGAATGACCTAGCTCATTCAGACAAACAGGTATCTGGTGAATTTCACCATCTGTTGGAAATATTTGGATGAACCTCTCACAGAAAGAAATGGCCAAATAAATCATCGAAATTTGCAGGAGAAAAGACATCATAAAGCTCAAGAATCTTTGGTGCATGCAGAAATAAAGAGAAGGCAGACGTATCCCAACAGTTCACAGGGCATCTCTAGTAGTTATGCAAATAAGTACTTTTGTCTTTTTAAAAATATATATATTTTTATTGTTTACAACTGTAAATATACACACCCCCCACATCCCAGACACAAACTGTTTCAACTCCTTCACTCAAAAATGACACTATCGAGCACTGCACACCAAAACACAAGGACAGTTTTTTTTCCCCCGAACGCCGTCACTCTGCTAAACAAATAATTCCCTCAACACTGTCCAACTATTTACAAAGTCTGCACTACCATTACAAACTAGGTAACATTATCAGTTCTAGAAAGAAGTTGGGTTTGTGGAGAGGAAGAAGAGGAGGAGGAAGAGGAGCTGGAAGAAAAAGAAGGCACTGTCCACATCTCTTCTAAAGATAGAAGACATTTAGGAGAATTAAAAATTTATTGAGTTGGGGGGTATCTTTGCATCTCTCTTGAGAGCAGGAGGAGGAGGAGGAGGAGGAGGAGGAGGAGGAGGAGTACTATGGGGTTCTTGATGCTCTCTGAGCTTGGTTGCTTTTCCTACAGATGTTTCATTACCAAACTAGTTAACACCATCAGTGCTTGTCTCATTATTGTCTTTCATTCATTCAATTACTCATTCATTCATTCCCTCATTCAAAGGAACCACAACACCTGGCCCACACAAAAGGGCAGAAGTTCGTCTGATTGAGCAGGGGGCTGGACTAGAAGACCTCCAAAGTCCCTTCCAACTCTGTTATTCTATTAACCTCCTTGGGAACTCCAGAATATTCCATGAACTCCAGAACCTTCTATTCTTCTTCTGGACGCTGTTCATCCAGCCGTTCTAACAAAGCTTAGCTTCTTACACAAATGTAGCAGCTACATCATTCCTTGACTAAGCTAAGATATTGTGTAAACGTGGTTTCTCCACCAACATGGTTTTTCCACCAATAGCTTGGAGGAAGGAGAGTCCCCTCCTATTTTTAGTGTATGTCTTGTGTGTTTTGAGGTACAATACCCACAAGGAAGCACTGTGTGACCAGTTTCATCCGTTTTGGCAGACCAGCCACATGTTTTTCGATGGGAGGTCCAAACCTTCTTTTGAGAATTCAACTCATTCATGTTTTGGATGACTATATATAGTGGATGAAGCTTCACGAGACATCTAGATCTTGCACATTATACCTGTTATTCTACTCATAGCTTTGTGGCTATAGTTCATGAATGCGTTCCCTTTCCTTCCTTTTATGGAGCTGAAGAAAGATCTGAGGTAGACTCCAGTTCCTTTGTCCTGTCCTCGTAGGACACATCCTCAGGCCCTTTGTCTTCTTTGTCACCTCCTTCTGAACTATCTCCAGGCTAAATATCCTTCTGGAGACATAGTACCCAGAACTGTTCTCCAGGTGGAGTCTCAAAATACAGGGAAGGAGAACCAGATGTCAGCCTTGGAAGCAGGGGTGGTATTTAGCAGGTTCTGACCAGTTCTGGAGAACCGGTAGTTGAAATTTTGAGTAGTTTGGAGAACCAGCAAATATCACCTCTGACTGGAGATTTTACAGTATCCTTCCCATGCCACTCCCACCGAACCACGCCCATAGAACTGGTAGTAGAAAAAATGGAATCCTACCACCGCTTAGAAGCTTTGAGGCTGCCACATTCGGTGCCTGGGAATTTGGGAGGGGGGATTTCATCGGGAGGTGGAAGATTAGACTCAACAACCTTCTTTGCCCTGCACCTGGAGGGGGGCTTGTAGAGGAATGTCTCCGGTTTGCGACAAAGATTTGATTGGGCCATGTGATGGACTGATGGGTGCAGGGGATGGATCTTTGAATTTCTTTTGGGGAAGGGAAAACCCAGAATTCTCAGATTTGGGTTTTCCCACATGTGCCAATATGACAACTCTAATCAAATGGAGCTTTGAGGAAATGCCTGCCTTGGAGTTTGTTGGTTTGGAGTTTGTGACTCAGAATGCTGACACCAGAACTGTGATACTCCTTGTAGCAGCCTTGACTGAGGCCCGGCCGAGTTTATATGGATGAGTGCAAAGGGCAAACCCAACCAATGATCTGCTCCACCCACCATGGCTTAATCATCATCAGGGGAACCTTGGCCACTCTTCTCTTTTCACCTCTACCCCACCCAGGCTCCATGGAGAAGTCATCACCCATCTTCAAATGACAACCAAGGAGAACCACAAGTTTGCAATGCAGAATGTTTTTTTTTTATTAAAGTGCCAAGAAAGAACATTGGAAGAAGCCACCGAGGATTCCAAATAGTGCACAGAAATGAAGACCTCCTTTTTAGAAAAATAATTTTAGAGGAAATGAGGCCCTAGATGTTTGGAGAACGTCCTTCGTTCGTGTGAAGCCCTTGACCAATCAATTTGGCAGGGGGCTAATTTCACAGGAAGGCACAGTGCTAACTATTGTTGGAATATCAAAGAAGAATCCAAGTGGTGGAGTAACTCTAGAGTAGATGGAAGAGAGCTGTGAAAGCTAAATGCAGGCCCATGGAGGGCCCAGACACACCTTAGCCAACCTTCTGAAAACCGTTCTGGTCAGGGAGAGTCCGGGTTAACTTAACAAGGGTTGCAGGGAAGACTGCAGATGCTCCCTCGGCGACCGAGACGCCCCAGGCGGCCTCCATAATAGCCACCGTAACGTCCATAACCTCCAGCAGCACATGGGGTGTGGCCTCCAACAGCGACAGGCTCACAGCTGGCGGAGAGGATGGGACCAGGGAGGGTGACCACAACTGCAGGGGGCTGGATGGTCACCTCGGAGGCTGGGATCTGGTTGATGCAGGAGGGGATGACTCCGGCCAGGGTGCCCAGGCTTCCTGAGGATTCGGCCAGGGCTCCAGCTCCATAGCCCAGTCCTCTGTAGCCGTATCCCCAAGGTCCACATCCAGATGACCCAAGTCCGATGACAGGGGCGGAAGCACAGGATGGGACAGCACAAGAAGGTCCACAGTGAGCCATGCCTGGTGATAGGACTGAAAGAAGAAGGAGACAATGTTGATGTACACCAACCAAGGGTGGCCAAAAGGAATTGTGGAAGAACATAGTTATGGTATCCCATCCAGGAGTGGTGGGTGACTTCCAAAGTCAATAAAGTTAGGGATCTTCTGAATTATCCATTTGGTTTAATTTAACGGGTCTGTGAATGTTTGAAGCTCTTTGGGCATTATACCATAGCATCAGTTTTCTAGATCCAATGTTCTAAGAAGTCAACAATCCCCAAGTCTACTTGGCATAGGAAGATCCAAGTCCTCCAAATTCTAATTAGTCCACTACACCAACTTTAGATGTTCTCCAATATTTATACATTATATTTTCATTCTCTGAGCTTTGTAGCACATATAAACCATCAGAATCTCCCATGTTAGAACCTAATGCAAATGTAGTGGTAGCACCCCAAACATCTATCTTGAGTTCTGAATTACCCCAAAATTGGAGGTGTTT